GCGTTCCTAGCCGCTCTCTGGTTGGGGGGCTCAAACTCCAGCCACAGAGGAGCCTCAGGGTCCCCCCACTCTGTAGGCTGCTTCCCCAGCACATCAGCTGCCCAGGAAAAGACAGGACGTACAGGCAACCCCAGCCCTTCCGTGAGGAGTTCTGAAGACACCACTGCTGCCAAGTGTGGCACGGCCACAATCTTCTAGGCCCCCGAAAATGCTCCACAAAGACGGTGTGTGGCGGAAGGGCCAGGCAGACTCAGTGCGAGGCAAAGCGAGAAGCACCTGCGGCTTGTTCCCCTTCTGGGTTTGTTCTGAGCGGACGAGGGGCGGAAGGGGGATCGGCTCCACCTAAGGAAGCCAGGCCTCTGCACTGACCAGCCGTGTGACCTGGGCAAGCCAGCCGGCCTCTGGCTCCACAGGACCGGCCCTCCCTCACGCCTAACCTTTGTTCCGGGCCTGCCAGGGCCGTGTTACAGCATGTGGGCACTCTCTGACTCTCCTTCTGTCTAGAGGAGGGATGGCAATCAGGACACACGCGTTACCGCCTGTCACCCATGCAGCAGCCCTGCGGGTGGCTCCATCATTATCCCCGTTTTACAGATGAGGACATAGAGGCCCAGGGGAGTCGGGGAGCCTGGAGCTGCTCCATGTGGTAGTCTGGACCCAACTCCAAAGCCTGCTTCTCCAGCTGTGGACCTGTTCCCCTGCGTGCTGATTCCCCTTTGCAGCCCAGTGCCTGGCATACAGTAGGCACTTAATAATGCGTGTTAGCTGAGTAACAAAGCAATAGCTCAAACACTGAATAAGTGAATGAGTCTCCGGCCTCATTTGCCCTCCTGCAAGAGGGCTTGGAAGGCAGGGGCGGATGCCGTCTCCTGGGGTCCCTTCTGCCTCTAGAACCCCAGTGTCACCCTGTCACACCGCCTCTCCAGGTGACTTTCAGAGATCTTTAGAATCTGACCCCGACTCCACACCCCAAGGCTTCTTGACCCCTGCCCAATTCTCCTCTGCTTGAACCAGAAAACCCTTCTCCCCATCGGATTCCAATCCCCTTCTCTTTCCATAAAGGTGTCTGTCTGTCTGCCCCCACCCCCTCCACCCCCACCCCACTGGTCCCGGCATCGTGGGCTCCTCGGCAATTCAGAACTTGTCTGAGCGCACCTTCGAGTGCAGCAAAGTTGAAAGAAAGCCATGTCCTATAAACACTCAGAGTACTCTAGACCATTTCAAACAGCGTCGAAGCCCCCGCACCTTTCTTATTAGATGAGCGTTTAGGTGCATTTCCCAAATTCCCGCCATTTTCATAGCATCTTGACAACGTTCACCCAATCTTGATACCAGCTCTATGCTTTTTAGTTAATATTTTTCTTTAAATAATCAACCTTAATTCCTCTTCTCCTTTCCTTCCTGCCTTCTTCTCGTTCTAAGCAATGTCTATGAGATCAGGCTGATGCTCCTGTCTTCTGGGGACCCTCTCCGATCACCTGCTTTGTCCCCAGGGGAGGGGCACTGCAATTTGAAGAAATACTGGATTTCAGGATTAGATGCTTTTTAAGCCACAGACTAACCTTTCAAAATAACCTTGGCGCATATTTCAGTCCGCCTGCTAGAGACAGCATTTTTAAATGATTTTACTTTCTTCTTTGTGTTCTCCCATTTTTATAGGAAGCAGTTGCTGCTTCTGTAACTAGAAACTATAAATGAATGTTGGACAATCACTAAGGCACCATCTGCATTTTTCCAAACACGGAGAGTTAGGTGAAGAGAGATAGTGGGGTGAGTGCCCAGACGTTGGCCAAGCTAATCCAAGAGTGACTTCTGAGGGCTGACTTCAAGTTCACGCTCAGCCCTCCTTCCAATTGTTGGACTTGGAGGAAATTTCGCCCCTCCTGCGTTTCTCCCCAGCAGCTGTCACGGGGTGTGTGTGGAACAGGAAACAGGATTAGAAGATTAACAGGGAGCCTGCCCGTGCAGCCTGGCTGTTATCGCGGCCGACTCGGACAGTCACCTTCCTGGGACACTTGTCACTACCTGCTGCCCCCGGGGAGTAGGGACCACAGCCCAGAATAAACTCTGAACAAGGGCGAAACTGGGAGCAATGGGGAGTCTCACTCCATATCAGACACATTTTACTGAGCCTGGACTAGGCACCCACCCCTTTAGGCAGTCTCTCATATCCCTCCTACAAGAACCCTAGAAAGTGAACGCTACATTTATTTACGCCCTCTTCATAGATGAGGGATCTGAGGCTCCGGGAGCATCAATCGCTTGCCCACGGTCACATGCAGAGCGAGGATGGACCCAGGTGTGTCTGACTCCAAAGCCTTCTGGTAGAGCCACTCTGCTTAGTCCCCTGTCCTTCCCACAGGCCACGTTCAGGAAAAACTGGGCACATGGCCCTGTGCACTCCCCACCTGGTCACTGCTGCGTCCTCTTGTTCCCAACACAGCTCCTAACACAGCCACAAAGACCCACATGGCTCTCGGGCTGAGAGGTTTGACCCTGCCTGTCAATTACTGAGCGCCGTCAATTACCAGCCCCGCTCCTGCCCATCTGCTGTGCCTACCAGGAAAGTCACCTAACCAAACCCTCCCCAATCCACAACAGCCAGGGGCTGGTTAGGACAGCCCATTCAGACCAAATAGAGTCAGCTGCCTAAATATCTAACGGCGTGGCTAGAACTTCAGGGAGAGTCCCCAGGATCACTGACATCTGAGCTCTTAAACTCCTGTACCTCCCACCTGTCTCTCCCTCCATGGCTGCCACCTGTCCAATCAGCTCCCCACGTGCAGGGGCCTGGCCTGACCGGGAAAGCAGTGAGGGGTCCTGGGAGCAGATGGGAGTACACAGTCTGCGGCCGGGGGAGCTTCTTGGAGGAAGAGAAAGCTACAAGGTGACACTAGTGACGGGCAGGGAACGGCCAAGTGCAGGAGGAGGGGACAAGTCTGAGGCAGACCAAATGTGTTGTTCGGAGGGACAAACGTCACCAAAAGAAGTGGGTTTGGAACTAGGTTGAAGCAGAGAGGAGGCACCTGTGAGGGACAAAGCACGGGGAGTGGCCAGGCCGGAGGGGAGTGGTCATGCGCGTAGGGCTTGGGCAATCACGTGAGGAATTCTGGGCCTCCTACTGAAAACAATAGGAGGCCTAGATGTTCTAGGTGTGGAGTAACCTAGTCTGACTTGTGCTTTACAACGATGTCTTCAGGGCTACCCAGAGAATGTCCGGGAGGCGAACAGGACCGAAGTCGGGTCTAAATAAGTTAGGAGGCTTGCGCAGGCAGGAGCAGTGGTGGTTAGAATAGACGGGCTGGACGGAGACAGGGAGGTGAATCCTGAGATATGTTAAGAAGGTAGAATCAACACGACCTGGGAACTGGTGAAGTTTGAGGGGTTGATTCAAAACACCGTAAATCCATTACCCCATGTGCTCTTGACTTAGTGGGGAGGAGGGAGGGAGTGGGGGCTGGAAAAAACCCTTTGATCTCAGCTGGAACTGGGTGCCCTCCACCTGGTCCCCACGGCACAACCTGGACCCTTACCTGCTGGAGACAAGCCTTTGCCGATGGTAATCGGCCTGAAGGACTGGGCTCGGAGTGTGAACATGGCAGGAATAAAAACTACCTCCGAGCCTAGGGCCACAGAGAGTCTGCCCCCTCTCAGCCTTATGTGATATTTGTTGTCAACTTTTTTTCTGACCAGAGACTAAATCCAACTCCAGTTTCAAAATGTAGATGTGCTTAACGCCAAATGTTTAGCTACAAAAGTAGTGTACATGTGTACACGTGAAGATAATGACATTTTTATGTTTATTGAATACAGTGAATATACAATATATTAGTGTCAGGTATACAGAAAGTCAACACTAATACACCTAACGAAGTGATCACCACACGAAGTCTAATAACCATCATTGAAGGTTATCACAATGTTATTGACAATATTCCCTGTTGTACATTACATCCCCGTGACTTCATAACTGGAAATCTGCACCTTGCATTCCCCTTCACTCTTCTGCCCTTTATTTTTTAAAGTATGCAAATTAGATCTGGGAAGGCTGTTATCTGAAAACAGTTTCCACAGCGTGTATTTCTAAACCCGACGTTAAAACCACCACATAGCTACGCCTTTCTCTCAGGTCTCTTGTCTCCCTTTGAGTGAGCATGTCTGTCCGTCTGCCCGACTCCCCCTTTCTGTGTCTCCCAGAAAAGGATAAGGAAAAGCTTCCTACGTGACCTCATTTTATTTTGAAACACGAAACCCACCACCAGGGGAAGGAAAAAAACACACTTTCTTGGTCACAGGGATCAAGATGTATTTCTCATTCTCTTGCCATATGGTAACTTATTTTGGAAACATATCAAGAGGCAGAGAGAGTGTTTGACGAAATTGGCAATCCCTTCAAATCAGACCAAATTCCCACTATATACATTTGTACAGCCCCATCTATTCATCATATCAGCGACTGCGACCACAGGATATGTAAAAGTATGGAGTGATTTTTATCACCATCTCCCAATCCCCCAGTGCCCTGGACACCACGTGGTGTCGAGTTTGTCTGTATTTCAGCCCCAGGAAATCAAGTCGTTAACTTCCCTTTCATTGACCAAGAGCTGTTGCCAGAAAGAAAATCATTCATCAGCCGTGACTTATGGGGAAAAGAGAGAGAGGACTTCACTAGGAGGAGAGACGGCAAGGGAAGAGGAGCGAATGGTAGCTTTAGCCCCCTGGGCAGATGAAGGATGCCAAGACCTCGGTACATTCCACCCCCACGCTTCCAGGATACACTCTCCAGGTCGCCTGACAGAGGAAACCACATGTGAGGCCAATCAGCAAGTGGGACTCCAGGAGGCTCCTTTGCCTTCTGCTCGCTGGCTATCGGGGCTCCATTTCTCTGTCCCCGGTGGGCTGCTGGAGGGAGGCGCCTTGTGGCTGATGGCTCACATGGGCTGTTGGGGGGGGGCGGGGGGTACGTGGAGAGGAGGGAGCCCAGGAACTCACGTTCTTACCTTTGCATTCTTGACATTCTGTGCAGTTCCATATCGTCGCTGCCCCGGAAGCCTTTGGCGAAGGGATTGTTCTCGATCTTTAACTGGGTGATCTGAAGAGAGGAGAGAGCGTGATTGCTATGAGACAACCTCGGGACATGAGCTAAGATGGTGCTGCATAAAGGCAGCCTCTGGCAACCAAATATTCAGGCGGAAGCTTTGAAAAAATATCCTAGATCAGACTGCTTTTAAACAGAGAAAAGAGCCGGGATTTGGTTTGCCCATTAATTCAAGTCATACTCAGCATCATTCTGGCCAGTTTGTTGCTGTTGTTGATTTCACTCTTAGCATTTTGTGTTCCAAACACCAACTAGGCCTCCCCGGCATCCACCTCCGCATTGGAAAGGTGTGCGTGTTGGACGGTGTCACGCATCCTGCAGCTGGCAGGCTCCCCTCAGGCGGGCTTGCTTACTGCTTTCCAAGTCCTGCAATGCCTCATGTCATGTTCATTTCTGTTCCACAGGTAGACTCTGCTAGCTCAGGTGGAAAACGCTGTCTAATTAAATCACTAACGGATAGAATTATAGCATATATAATGGCTATCGAGCAGTTGCCAGACCTCTTTCATTTTTGAGGTAAGGAAGAAAGAGCCCTCTTCTTGGATACTTTTGTTGCAATGTACGAAGTTTAGTCATAGAACAGGGCCTTTGGGTCAAGGCCCAGATCTTCCATGTCAACCATCACACACATTCTATGAGGATGAGTGAACAGTAGCAGGTCCGGATGCGAGGGCGCCTCTATCTGGCATTTGCCGGAAATATTTCCTGACAGCTGGGTGTGAATTAATTTATATGTATCAAGTCACTCTGTGGACATTGAGGTTCAGTCACTCACGCTTGACCTTCATGGTCAGTCATCTAAATCACACCTGTACACTGGTCCGTTTAATATTTTCACTTAAAGCTAATCAGTCTTTACTTCAAGTTATTTAGTACAAAATATTATATCACTTCTATGTCCAACCAGAATCACTTGCTATTCCACAGAAAGAAAGCAATGCTTTCAGTTCTCTCTACTGGTACCCACAGAAAGCTCTAAACCAGTGGTTCTCCACCTTCCTAATGCCGCGACCCTTTAATACAGTTCCTCATGTTGTGGTGACCCCCAACCATAAAATTATTTTCGTTGCTACTTCCTAACTGTAATTTTGCTACTGTTTGAATCGTCATGTAAATATCTGATATGCAGGATGTATTTTCATTGTTACAAATTGAACATAATTAAAGCATAGTGATTAATCACAAAACAATATGTAATTATATATGTGTTTTCTGATGGTCTTAGGCGACCCCTGTGAAAGGGGTCGTTCGACCCCCAAAGGGGGCGTGACCCACAGGTTGAGCACCGCTGCTCTAAACGCAAGATGGGCTTTCTCTTCGTTACAAGGGAAGATTAGACACCTTTCAATCACAAAAGAGTCCCAACTAAACTAAGACTATCTTCCTGATGGTTGAATAAAGATAATCGAAAGAGAACAACTTTCTGTGACTCCATCATATTCATGTAACCCCCCAAATCACCTCAATCTACCCCCATAGTATAGTTACAGATGCTCAGAATCTCCGTGCGGGGTGATAGATGAAGGCGCCCTCTAATAGTGCATCTGGGGGCAGACAGTCTGGTATGTCCTGTTTTCTACAAGAGATGGCTTAGTAAGGTCTTCTAACTCCAACGCTCTATAATGAGCATAAACTTACTATGTATGTATACGCATGTGTTCATGATAAAAACATATGTAAATTGAATATTTAAAAACATGCTATATGATTCCAGTCATATGACATTTGGAAAAGACATAACTATGGAAACAGTAAAAAGATGTGTGTGGCTGCCAGTATTAGAGGGGAGGGAGGGGTGAGTAGGCAGAGCACGGGATGTTTAGGGCAGGGGAACTCTTCTGTATGATACTGTGATGCTGGGCAATGTCATTAAAGCTTGTCCAAACCCACAGAATGGACAGCGCCGAGAGTGAACCCTCAGGTGAACTGGACTTCGGGTGATGATGTGTCCGTGTTGGTTCACTGACTGTAACAAATGTCCCCTCTGGTGGGGATGTTGATAGTGAGCAGGCTGTACGTGTGGGGGGCGGGGGGGCAGGAGGAATGCAGCAAACCTGTGTACCTTCACTCAACTTTCCTGAGAACCTAAAACTGCTCTAAAAAAATCTATTACAAAAGCTTTAATATGTATGTATGCTTATTTATGTGTATACACATCACCTCCTCCCTCATCTTTTAAGAAATGATACCCATTCCTGCAGCTTTCTGATTTTGACTTGACTCTTCAGAGTCTACAAAATCCCTTTTAAAAAATGGTCTTTAAGCCCGGTCAGTGTGGCTCAGTGGCTGAGCATCAACCTATGAACCAGGAGGTCACGGTTCTATTCCCGGTCAAGGGCACATGCCGGGGTTGGGGGCTCGATCCCCAGTAGTGGGTGTATAGGAGGCAGCCAATCAATGATTCTCTCTCATCATTGATGTTTCCCTCTCTCCCTTCCTCTCTGAAATCAATAAAAACATATTTTTAAAAAACCCAAACAGACAAAAAAACGGTCTTTAAAATGTGCACTCCTGAGTCCAGTTCTGTTTCGAGTCTAAAAGCCTAATGAGGCTTTCTTTCCCACTCAGGTTTTGTCACAATAAAATGCAACCCACTTGACCATAAATTCCTTTTTTAAAGAGGGGGCGGGGAGATTCTCAAAAAGTCAAGTAAAAATCCCATCACTGACGATCTACTTAGAAAATGAGATCTTGCCCCACTCCCTGCGCCCCTCCCCTGCAGTCCCTGAAGCCAGTCCCTGAGTGGACGGAAGACACATGGGCTGTGGCCTCAGGTCTGAACGAATGCCCAGTCCGTGATGTCACTTCTCTACTGGGAGCTCGGGACAAAAGTATCGCCTGAGAGAAGAAGAAAGGGGTGGATTTGGATATTTTATCAGGCGAAGTATTTTGCTCAAACCCATTTCTTGCCCCTCGAACGGTTTACTTCTACCTAATTCTTGCACTTATCACCACAGCTTCCAAAAATGTGGCTGCATAGGGTAAGCACGATGTGTTCACAGACACTAAGGTGTGTTGATCTTGCGTACATCTTGCTTTGGAGACTAAATACAGGTCCTATAGCACGTAAGAACTACCCCTGAGGGATGTGAGCATCCAAGCTGAGCTCAGGTGAGAATTCCGTCTTATTTCCCATATGTCCACCTTACTTCCTAAGAACAATGTCTTCTTTATGTCGTCCATACAATAACCCTGTCCTTGAATTTGCCTTCGAATGTTCTACCTGTCAGCTAGCTCACCCGCGGGCGCACAAACACACGGGCAGATGCACCGTGATGTTCTACCAAAAGGCTCCCCTGCAACTGACTCCATGCTCCCTCCGCATGAGCATAAACCGGATATCCGGGGGCGGGCTGGGGCGGGGGGGGAATACAAATATAAATGCCAGCTCCAACCAGTGGGACAGAGGTTGTAAAAATTAATGAGAATAATTGTTGGGAATTCTTGCTTTTGAAAAAAAAAAGAAAAAACCCTCACGAGGGCCAAAAATCTTAATTATGTCTCTCTATTAGGGGTTCATTTCCTGGTCCCAACCAGAAAGCTCATACCTCATAAATACAGGCTCCTTGCACAATGATTTAAGCAGGAGGAAAATGCCTTTTAATGGCAAAGTAAGTTAATATCGGGGGACAGACGTGCTCGCATACACAGCCATTGTTGCAACAGCAGGGAAATGAAATGCCCACGTGACCTTTTTTTAACACCTAAATATTTCTAGGGATTGCTCCGGGAGCTGCTGACAACTCCAGCAAAAACCTTACAAAAACGTGTTTCACGGAGCGAACGTCACTGGGGAAGATTCGAGTTTTTTAAATATCTTTTTCAAGCTGTCAACCATCTGGGGAAATAACTCCCAAATCCAGCTCGGATCGCAGCTGGGCTGAGGAAATACGTTGTGTCATTAGCAGCCCGTGGGCACGCGGGGCGTGACTGCCGCCTGAGAAATGAGTCCTGTCACATCCCTGCCTCCACCCGGTACCTGGGCCCAGCAGACACCCTTGAGCCCTTTTGGCCAAAAATAAATAAATAAATACACAATCGGTGGCTCCTGTTTCCCCAAATTGCCCTGGGAAATTAACCCCCCGATTGCTTTTCTCTCCCTGCTCACTTACCCAAAGCATAATGCTGGGCAGACAGTCCTGAAATTGATGACACGATCGGTGAACGAACAAAGCCCCGAAAACGAACCTTTTGTGGTTTTGCAACCACAGTAATAAGAACTTAGTGAAAATCTCAGTCGTTCAGATTCTAAGAAAGTCAGGGTAGGAAAGAGTTTTCCAGAGCCTGCCTTTTGGATGGAGCGAGCTGCCCTGTGAATAAATCGATCGGCGACGGAGCCAGTCAATGGGATTGTCACTAACACTCCTGTGCCAGCGTCTGCGCCACACCCTTCCCTGGATTCTCATGGAATCCTCACAACGAGAACAACCAGTTAACCTTCTCCTGTCCCCATTCTACAGGCGGGGAAAGCTGAGTTCAGCAACGTGCTCAAAGTTAAATGGCTCTGAACCCAGGCCGTCTGCCCCCCGGAGTCCCACCTGAACCCGATGCAGCGGTGAAGCTCAGGCGGCTTCTACCCATGAAGTCAGGGCCTCCACACGAGGCCCCGGTGGGACAATAAAGCCACAGACAGAGTCCGCAGATCACCCTCAGCCTGGCCCGCCGACGGAAGTCACACATCACCCATCCACGTGGGCACGTCTGCAGCGGCCCTGGACTTGAACTGGAAAACTGAACTGCTTTGCACTTCCTCCCGACAAAGAACATAGGGGCCCTGCGTGCCCCCGACTGAAGTGGGGGAGACCTCACCGCGGGGAGCGTGACAGAAAGCTGTCTCTCACGAAATCCCTCTGCCAGGCTGGCTGAAAAGACCTAAATAAATGTCCAGCTCAACGGGGTTCCCTGGACCAACCAATAAAGAAAACAAGCAGTTCCTGTATGTGGTCACCAATTCCGAAATACCCACATGCGTATCTGGAGATGCACGTGTGTAGATCCATGAGCATTTACACACACCGTCTCCTAGACGCGGCTCGAAACTCACACACACACACCCACTGGACAAGCTCCTTCATGCAGGCAGATCAATAAATATATTTGTTGGAGAAGACTTTTTTTAAGTAGAAATATTACAGGGCACACAGATACCAAATTATAGCGTCATACACCTGAAATGTATATGTTAGTAACCAATGTTACCCCAATTTAATTTTCAAAGATGAGAAAAAATAGAAATTTGGGGGTGGGGAGGGGTTGGGTATAGTCACAAGTGGTTATGGCCCTAGTTTCCTGGGTATATGCATGTGTCAAACTAATCAAATGTGCACTTGCAATATTCTAGTTTATTGTGTGACCATCATGCCTCAGTAAAACTGCAAACAGAGAGAAATTTCCCCTGGATGCACCTTTGTGGTGGTGACTACACACAGCTGAGGCACTTCCCCCAAAGGGTCTGACCATCCACGTGTCTCTAGCAGGTCACTGTCCTGTGTCTACCACTTCCTTTCTGTGTGAAGCTGGGCTTTCTTGGGGGAGGGGGCTATTCGATACATTTTTGGACCCTTTGGCGGCCCGGGAGCCTTTGAGAATATATATATGTGGCAAGGAGCACCCTGGCTGCTGTTGTTTCCACTCCTCTCCCTGTGCCTGTCACCACAAGCTAAAGGGGTTTGCAGCAGCGACGGGGAGACAGGTTCCCAGCGGCCAGACTCCAATTCGCCCGAAATGGTTGCGCAGCTTTCAGGGTTTTTAGTCTTAACGTTCTGGCTCTTGTCAGTTCAACCGATGGGAGAACTCAGCCAAATCCTCTTTCCCAGGGGTCCTCAAACTACGGCCCGTGGGCCACATGCAAATACAAATATTGTATTTGTTCCCATTTTGTTTTTTTACTTCAAAATAAGATATGTGCAGTGTGCATAGGAATTTGTTCATAGTTTTTTTTTTTAAACTATAGTCCGGCCCTCCAACGGTCTGAGGGACAGTGAACTGGCCCCCTGTTTAAAAAGTTTGAGGACCCCTGCACTTTCCCTTTAAAAAGTCATTGCATTTTGGGCGCGAGCGAGGTTTCTTCGGGAGGGAAGCTCTCTCCAGACCTGGGTTCCCAGACAGGCCTTGTGGCCTGGAGGGGCTCATCCATCACAGCCGGCCTGTTGCCGACACTCTGAATGTGGAGCAGACCCACAGCATTCTCTAACTACCCGGCTTCCAGGGCTCCCCTGACACCCAGTACTGGAAGGACCTCCACGGGGTGCCTGGGAGCTGCAGGGTGCTCTTGCCCTGCTGGCCTCCCTCACCTGGCCCCACAGCCCCTGTAACTTCCTTACCTCGTAGGTGGGGATAGGACCTGTGGTGGGGGCGGGGCGTCCCATTCCCAGGTCCATCTCCTTAAGTTGTCCACGTGACCCACCCTCCCTGATCCCATATGGAACCTTCTACTTTCCCCACAGCAGCCCTCTAACCCCAAATCACTGCTTAATACTCTTAACAGTCCACACCGCACAGTGGCTGAGGCCCTTCCCAGCACCTACATCTTGCCTTGTCAGGTTCCAGATCTTTCCATAACAAGCCTTAGGAATCATTCAATCCCCCCCGCCAATACAATGAATCGCCCCCTTGAGTTTCTAAAGAACAGACATGAGCCATGATAAGTCAAGACAGCCCTGACTCCTGGGCAAGAAGAGATGATGCTCCCCCGACCTGTGGTTATGGGGCGCCCTGTTCCAAGGTCACTGCCAAGCTTTGAAATGCCCACATCAGACTGTGGATTTCGAACAGCACAGCGTGGGGTCTGGCACCATCCCACCTCTGCCCCAAGCTACAGCCACCTTCTCCCAAACAACGCATTGACCACTGCCCAGGAGCCCAGCATGACCGCCTCACCAAGCTGTGGTTTTGCAGGATCCTAGCTAAGTCCTGGGAGTGTGGTCCAGGCTGCTGGTGGCAGAGCTTGCTCGGTTTGTGTTTTTATTTTTGTAACAATGCAAA